TTATAACTAATTTATGAAACGAATATTTTAAACCTAATTAGTTTAGAATTTAATAACAAGTGCTACAGTATACATGTTCTAATAATAAAATAATTAGATTTAATAAATTTATTTTAAATTTATTTTTTTATTAGTATCCGACCCACGCTACGCACCCACGTCACACGATATGACACACCATCTGGTTTTCCCCATCGGTTTTCTTCCCCGCCGCCGCTCTCCCTGTGTCCAGTGTCCACCCCGCTTCCGCCCGCGTCCACCCACCCCGCCCCCCCTGCCCCCGAACCCTAACCTCTGGCGGCGATGAGCGGCGGCGGCCCGCCGAGGAAGCGCAACTTCAAGATCGAGGCGTTCAAGAACCGTGTGGAGCTCGACCCCAAGTACGCGGAGCGGACATGGAAGGTCCTCGAGCACGCCATCCACGAGATCTACAACCACAACGCCAGTGGCCTCTCCTTCGAGGAGCTTTACAGGTTGGTCCACAACCCACCCCGCGCAACTCACCTTACCTGGCCATCGCTGCCTTTCGGGCCATCCGCTGACGGCCATTCGAAGAATTATTATGTGTTTCTGGAGTAGCGACCTGTGCAAATTCGGGCAAAATTGTGCCTGTTCGGGATGATTATTAGCGGAACACTAGTTCCTGTGGATCCTTCCTACCCCTCTATACAGATTTTGATAGCTAATAACCGTGATTATTCGAGACTGAGTTGTATGTAGGAACTGATGTTACATTGCACTTCATGTGACTATGTGAGCAGTAGATTTGTGTTTGATTTACGTATTATAGTCTCTCCAAATCTGTGCCTGTTGAACCTTTTTTTTTTCTTTTGCAGAAAATTAGTTAGCAAATTTACTAGCACTAATTACTGTACAAAAATATCTGGTGTGGCACGTAGATGTAGGTGCACTACACCAAGATATAGTGTGGCCTAGCGTGATTGTAACTCTCTCTCTCTCTCTCTCTCTCTGCAGGAGTGCCTACAACATGGTGCTTCACAAGTATGGTGAGAAGCTGTATGATGGCCTTCAGAGCACAATGACATGGCGCTTGAAGGAAATATCAAAATCAATAGAGGCTGCACAGGGTGGTTTATTTTTGGAGGAGCTGAATGCAAAGTGGATGGATCACAACAAAGCGCTACAGATGATACGAGATATTCTTATGTACATGGACAGGACATATGTCCCTACTTCTCATAGGACACCTGTTCATGAGCTTGGTCTGAATTTGTGGAGGGATCACATAATTCGCTCCCCCATGATCCATAGTCGGCTGGTTAACACCCTTTTGGATCTTATAAAAGGGGAAAGAATGGGTGAAGTGATTAACAGAGGCCTGATGAGGAGCATAACAAAGATGCTGATGGATCTGGGTCCTGCTGTGTATCAAGACGATTTTGAGAAACTATTTCTGGATGTTTCAGCTAGCTTCTACAGTGTGGAGTCTCAAGAGTTCATTGAGTGCTGTGACTGTGGGAACTACCTTAAGAAGGCCGAGAGGCGTCTAAATGAGGAAATGGAGCGTGTCTCACACTATTTGGATGCTGGCAGTGAGGCAAAGATAACTAGTGTAGTGGAGAAAGAGATGATTGCCAATCACATGCACAGATTGGTTCACATGGAAAATTCAGGGCTTGTTAACATGCTAGTAGATGACAGGTATGAAGATTTGGGTCGGATGTATTCCTTGTTCCGAAGGGTTCCTGATGGGTTATCAACGATTAGAGATGTCATGACTTCTTACCTGAGGGAAACAGGGAAGCAGTTAGTGATGGATCCAGAAAGTTTGAAAGATCCAGTCGAATTTGTCCAACGCTTGTTAAATGAGAAGGACAAGCATGATAAGATCATCAGTGTTGCTTTTGGCAATGACAAAACCTTCCAGAATGCTCTGAATTCATCTTTTGAGTATTTCATCAACTTAAACAACCGATCACCTGAATTCATATCATTATATGTTGATGACAAACTCCGCAAAGGACTTAAAGGGGCCACAGAAGAAGATGTGGAGGTTATAATGGACAAAGTCATGATGCTGTTCCGATACCTCCAGGAGAAGGATGTGTTTGAAAAGTACTATAAGCAGCATTTGGCGAAAAGGCTCCTGTCTGGCAAAACTGTTTCTGATGATGCTGAGAGAAGTATGATAGTTAAACTCAAGACAGAATGTGGATACCAGTTCACTTCGAAGCTAGAGGGCATGTTCACTGATATGAAAACCTCCCAGGACACCATGCAAGACTTCTATGCCAAGAAGTCTGAGGAACTCGGGGATGGCCCTACGCTTGATGTCCACATTTTGACAACTGGTTCTTGGCCTACACAGCCCAGTCCTCCTTGCAACCTTCCAACTGAAATACTTACAGTATGTGAGAAGTTCCGGGCATATTATCTTGGGACTCACAATGGCCGGAGATTGACATGGCAAACAAACATGGGTACAGCTGACATAAAAGCCACATTTGGAAAAGGCCAGAAGCATGAACTGAATGTATCCACTTATCAGATGTGTGTTCTCATGCTGTTTAACAATGCTGATGGATTGACCTACAAAGACATTGAACGGGATACTGAGATACCTGCCTCAGACCTAAAGAGATGTCTGCAGTCCCTTGCTTGTGTCAAGGGGAAGAATGTTCTCCGCAAGGAGCCCATGAGCAAGGACATATCGGAGGATGATACATTCTACTTTAATGATAAGTTCACAAGCAAGCTTGTTAAAGTGAAGATTGGGACAGTGGTAGCGCAAAAGGAATCTGAACCAGAGAAACAGGAGACTCGCCAACGGGTTGAGGAGGACAGGAAACCTCAGATCGAGGCAGCCATTGTCAGGATCATGAAATCACGGAGGGTGTTGGATCATAACAGCATTGTAGCTGAGGTTACCAAGCAATTACAAGCACGTTTCTTGCCAAACCCTGTTGTCATAAAGAAGCGCATCGAATCTCTAATTGAGCGTGAATTCTTGGAAAGAGACAAAGTAGATAGAAAATTATATCGTTATCTTGCATAGAAACTTGTCATGTGATAATTCATGAACAGTTGGCATCCTTCTGCTCTTGGAAAACAGTTTTCTTTATGCTCAACTTCTGTTTTATCAGTTGCATTGGCTGCTGGGTTCATAGATGTCCAAACATTGGTTATTGGTTGATGGTGAATTGAAGTGGGGATTGTATTGAATTTTACTGCTCCAACACTTTCTCCTTTCGTTTGATGGTGCTATGACAGGTCTGTAAGAACTAAGAAGCCGTATTTATCTGTTTCCTGTGCAGCATTCATACTCGATAGTTTCTGTTTCCTTTGGATCCGTTTCACCTTTCCACTTCTCCTAGTGCCATGTATGCTTCTATGCCTTTCACTTCAGGATTCGGTCGCAAGCTACTACTCTACTAAATTACAAGTCATTCTGACTTTTTTAGGGACTTAGCTTTTATTATGCATCTAAATATCATGCATAGTTTTTACTATGTTATGCATCTAGATATCATATATAGTTTTTACTATATATATAGAAAAGTTAGAACGATTTATAATTTAGAATAAAATATATCAGGATGTCCTTCGTTTATGTGGCTACCTACATCCAGATGTCCTCTTAGTTTTATGTGACAAAGTTGGCCATAAATACAATACCAACTTGTTAACAAGATTTGAAATGTTGCTTGAAGTACATCCAATGAATGAGTTTACAGAGAGTGTTCATCAGAGTCCGCACTGGCCATGAGATTGTGTAATGTCGAACGAAGAAACACGCATCATTTCAAAAATTCAGAGATACAACAATAATGCACAATATATGAATAAAAGAAGCAAAGGTTACTCTCCGGATATGTACTTACAAAGCCAGAAATCGGTACACGTTCGATGAACTTAAAAAGGTACTCTCTCTATTTCAAATTAAGATGTTTTGACTTTTCTAATACATAGCTTTTGCTATATATTTAGATATACACTATGTTTAGATGCATATAATAGAAATAATATATTTTGAAAAAAAAAACCAAAACATCTTATAATTTGGAATAGAGGGAGTACCATCATTCTAACACTTCGATTTGTTCAATGAACATTTTTACAATACAAAGCTGAAATCAAAATGAATTTTCTAACGAAGTGAGACCACTGGCATTGCTACATGTCTACTGCCAACGGCTGTGCAAACGTTACTTCGTTTCTCTTCTCTACAAACAAGCATGTTAGGCACATTGACGCTGTTCTGGTCCTCTGTAAACAAAAAAAGACGACATCACTTTGGCTGACTGTCCTGCACGATTGGATGCACCAAGGAGATCAACTTGTACCCTGAATGCAAGAGCTGGATGAATGGTATGCACAATAAATTGAAGTCACATTGCTGTTGATTCCTCAAATGGCAGTCTCAGCCTTGTATGAATGACGATTCGTGTCCAAACGAAGATTTAGCTGGTGGTCGATCTGTGCAAGCCCTGTTTCGACAACAAATCGACATCCATAGTATTAGATAGTCTATGCAAGCCCGTTAATAAATGCGATGGTGATTACTTTGTTCTGCAGAATTGCCTTTTTGGGACCCTAAGCAGTAAACTACAATTCTCTACGAATATATGGCCCTAGCAATTCAATATGCAATAGCATGGATTGTTGCACCAGTTATTGCCTACAGAGAAGGAATTCAGGAAAAGAAACAGGGCTTTGCCAGTAACTCTTACATACACACTAGACCCCTAATTTGATTGTGCCACATGGTGTCATATAGTTTAAGTACATAGGGCCGAATGTCCTCAACTATTTTTTAGACTTATTGACTCGGTCTCTGTACATGCTGAAATGCATTGATCGTTGCTATTACCTTAAACATATTTAGGTGAAAAGGTTTCCCTGGATTCGTTCTCCTGAGCTTCAAATAAGTGTATGTAAAACTCAATTGATCACGTGAGGTAAAACGGTTTACTTCGTTAAACCAAAGGCATGAAAACAAGTTAGACATTGGTGTATGGGCACGCACAATGAATGATCCTTCAGGTACATCTGCAAAAGTTCATGTACAGGGTCAACTCTTGGGCCAATCAAGAAATATATACTTCTAAGTCATTAACTAAACAATATGATAGGATACATACAGCTTGGAAGAACAGGCAGTTGGCCAGAGTTATTAAACTTGACAAGACCATCAGACTGGTAAAAGTGAAATTGCTCATCAATAGCAGTAATGCAGTATGATTGTACTTGTTCAACCGCTTGTTTTGGAGTATTTCCTCCCATACACAAAAGCGATCATAGTGCATTGAGATGGCATATTCTGCTTTCTTTCTCCATAAGAAATACTCAATGATAAGCATTGGATCAGCATGGAGGCGCAGTTTGCTATCCAACCATATAGAATACCTAGAAAGAAAAATACCTTCAGTTAACCCAGGTGAGAAAATACTAGCTCATTTCACAAGAGAAAATTTCTTTAGCCAGAAAACAATGCCATTTTGTGATAGAGCACTCCTTTTTAGGCTCTTGATGCCTATATGAATAATAACCTTAAACTTATAAAGATTATGTTTGTAGATTTTGAAAAATACTTCCATAATACTACAATTTTACAAGGCTTTTTAACTTTTATTTGATCAAGAGTTTATAACTATATTACTATAGAAATTAATGTTCAATGTTGCATTTTGAACAATATGTCCAGACAACGCGCTTTTGTGATCGCAGTGTCCGGGGCATACGCATTATTATTAACAAAATAGGAAAAAGAAAATTCGCTGCAACATAAAGCAAAGTAAGAAGCCCTAGTTACAATCAGAGCTGGTGGGATGACAAGCACTAACCAGTTAGTAGGCAGTACTTGTAGGATTTTTTGGATTTAACAGAATTTATTGTTAGAGCAAAGACATTGCTGGTAATAAAAAAATTCACTGCACAATTAAGTACGATACGCATACTTCCTTGAAGACTTACATGGCAGATGGGAAGAGTCGATAAGCTAGAAATTTTGGCACCTTCCCAGCTCTTCGCATATCTTCGTATGGTAAGTTCTTAACTACGACACTTCTCCATAAGCCTATGAATCCATTTCCATCAGGCATGTGTCCTTCAGAGGAAAGGGTTGCCAGTGTTAGCTCATCCATGAACATGACGAAGCACACATTCTTCTTAGCGTAAGAGCCAATCTGTGAGAGTTTATGGCACATCATACAATTACTATAGAACTTATAAAAAACAAGAAATATTCATGAAATAAAAGATTGATAAGGAGTGAAAGCCAATGAATAATTTACCATCATGACAGAACATGAAATCAACTAGAAGAATAAACCTTACACTTAAGCCATTTTGCTACTCGAAAACAAGCTATTAGCTATAGCACACAGACGATCAAGTTCATCCATACAGAAGAGATTAGAAAATCACCCTGCTTTTAGTTGGTCTCCTCAAGTAATCAGAGCTTCGAAAAATACATGATGATACAGAAACATGGCAGGTAGCCATATACCTTCTATCATTTTCATCCAAATCAAATCCGGTACTAGGGTAATCATCTGGTCCTCTAACAAAACCGCAGTGGAGGGTCTGGTCTTTAGCATGGTATGTCTCTTCTCTATCCCCAAGACTCTGGTGTCCACCAAACACTGGTTCGAAGAAGCCATTACCAAGCAATACTTTTTCCTTCAATATATAGCTCAAAGAGAACTGTGTAAAATTCCCGTAGTGAGCAGGCTCCACAAGATCATCAACTGATGGCAAAAACTGAATATCGCATGGTGCATCTGCAATGTTGTATTTGGTAAGTAAACAGAAACCTCTGTAACATATTTTTTTTAGCATATATAAGGTAGGGTCCTATCAGATTTTTTTTATATTAACTTGTAATAAACAATACTGTTTGTGTGCAATGATTCATGTAGCATATATAAGGTAGGGCCTAATCAGATTGTTTGATACTAACTTGTAATAAAATACACTTGTTATTCTCTCCAAAAATAAAGGCATGGCAAGGATTGTTTCTAAGCAGAAAAGAGGGGGGATATCAGCTAGAAGATTATATCAAACTTAAAGACCCCCCCTTTTTGTTCTAATGCATGTAGGGTAAAAAAATCTAATAAAAGTTATTTGTTGCATTTGACTAAAAAAGGCCCATCTTTGAGAAGTGCACCCTTTACAGAGTATAAAGAGAAGATCTCTTACAGCGCTTGTGTGGTTTCTTTCGACTTTTGGGGGGTTCCAACTCAACTTTAGTCCTGGCAGAAGACGTAAATCTGATGACTTTAACACAAACAACTGAATTTATACGTATGTATTTGAACTCACATAGAGATATTTGTAACATCAGGGCTGTATCCCTGACCATTCCCCTTCAAAAGGTTCTCCCTATTAGATAGGCCATGATGCATTGCTGCAAAGCATAACATCAAATTTCAGAGAGTTTTTTTTTTTCTGCGGATAGAGAGTATTTTCTTTGGAGTCATCCAGAGAAAATATGAGAACATAATCAATAAAGTAAATAAATCTTTTTAACTCGTGACAAGAGGAAGTGATTCAATTTCCTGTGACCAAACACCTCTGGAACACACATATTTTTCCAACTAACCAATTGGGGGCAAGGAACCCACCTGAACGTAAATTCCATTTCATTTGAAACCAAAACAGAACCTCTAACACACATTTTAGGCCCTACTCACTTCTGGTGACAATGATGATGCTTGTATCTCTAACAATTGGAACTGTAGAATTTACGTAATAGGAAATAATCACCAGAACACATCTGAAGATTTGTGCACCCTGAAGAAATTTTACGCGACGATAGAAAATGGTAGTATGCGGCGGACACCGGCCCACTGCCCGCGCCGCCGCGCGCACATACAGAAAACAGATTGTGGTCGTATGCCTTTGTCAGTTGCAACTAAATTGCAGCTCCAAAGCAAAATCATAGTTCTGGATGGAAAAAGTACCTGGTCATTTGAACGCTTACCGTGGATTGGGAGGTTGGCATGGGAGGAAAAGGAGAGGTAGGCGAGGGAGAGGACGGAGAGGGAGAGGACAAGGAGGAGGATTAGGCGGCAGCGGCGCCGTAGCCTCCGGGAATGGCGGCGGGACCCGGCCGCGGCCGGGGCGGTTATCGGTAGGCGGAGCTCCGGCATGCCCCGCGCAGCACGCGCGCTCCGGCGAGGCGTAGAGGTGGGATGGGCAGCGAGAGAAAGCGGGCGAATATTTGCCCCTTGTGTTTTGTCCTTATTTCGTCGAGAGAATTCGTTTGAAGGCTGTTCGCTTGCTCGTAAGTAAATTTTTTTAGCGCCGGAACAACCAACTTTTATAAATTTTAAACCAAAGCGATAAATTAATAATGAAACAGCCCAATTTATGGGGCCGTTACATCTGATCTTATCGACCAATGCACTAGCTGATCCCCTCTCAATATATTGTTTATCAAACCGAGAGAATTGTTTTTGCCAAGCCAATATAAAAGTTCTCGATTCTCAGGCCACCAGAAAAATTACAATGTTATGTGAGCTATTGCTCCAATTTTTTTCACTCTTACATGCCACTAACGTTTACTTCTAGGAAGACGGCAGCTCACATGATCTTGAAATGTCCATTTTACCCCTCTTATAGGTGGATCCCGCACGTCAACCTTCTTCTTCACCACACACCACTACCTCTTCTTCACCACAGAGCAGGGGCGCCTGGGGAGTGGGTGGCCAAGGCTCACCGGAGGAGGACCGGCCAGGGCGCACCGATGGCCATCCCGTGCTCCTCCAACACCTGCACGGCGTCCCTGCTGGCCTCCCCTTCTCGCTCGCAGGCTGCGGCTGCGGCTCGGCTCGACTAGGCACGACGAGCATGCCATCAAGGCGCTTACGGCCTAGGTGGGTTCTCGCCATCTTGGGTCAGTATTTTGGTCTTAGGGAGTGGAGTTCTGGTCTGAATTTAGCAGATTTCCCTCCTTCAATGTAACATGTTGATGAACTTGCTTGGAATCAGCACAGACTTGTCAGGATTCAGGCTCTTGCGATTTGTCAATTTGTGCAAATTTCTATGGGACTTCGAAGCTTTTGAGCATTTCCTACCTCGTTTGGAGCATGTAGAATCAGATCAGGCGGGATTCAGAAGTACCAACTGACAAGACATTTTCTGGGTTCAGATCAAGGATATGGTGCTCAAGGTGTCGGGCGCATACCGGCACTGCACTCCCATCCCGTGCGGCCGTGCTCCTCGCACACCTACACGGCGTCCCTGCCCTTCTCGCTCGCTGACTACGGCTCGGCTCGACTGGGCACAACGAGCGCTGCGACAGTGGCCGGTGAGGGCGGGCTGCGCGGCACCGGGCGGCCACGACGCACCTATATTGAGCCCGCTTGCCGTGCTCACTGGTTGAGGTAGGGCGAGTGTTTCTAGCAGGGTTGCGCTGAGGGAGCAATTTTGTCGATGGAGCGGGACCAATGGCTAGGGGAGCGGGCGGAGGAGGGAGGGCTAGAGCTAGCTCAAGGCTACTGAGGCAGTGAAAGGTCCTTGTGTGGTTTTAGTAATTGAGTGACAACATAGGTGGACTAATTATGTTTATATGAGATACACAGGTGATTAGTCCACAGGTACATGTGTGTGAACAACATATGCCATGATGGTGAAAATGACTTGAAGATGTTGCAAAGCTCACATATGTGATGATGAAGGAGCTCATTGCAAATGAGACATTGAGTCATGTGGTCAAGGTGGAGAAGATGAAGACATGACTTGGCTTGATGGACCGGTTGCAAGCGTGAAGGGCAAGTTGGAGGCTTTGGAGCGATGGACCGCGTGGCGTTGAAGCTTAACCAAGACTTGGCGCCGATGGACGAAGGCAACGGTGAAAAGCAAGTGAAGTCAAGATCGATGAACCAATATGATCATGTGATGATATGAAGTGGATCATATCATTGTTGATCGTGTTGGTGCATGTGTTGCATCGACATTGGAGGAGATGGAATGAAATGCGCAAGGCAAAGGTATAACCTAGGGCATTTTATTTCACCGGTCATAGGTATGTAGAGAAGTTGATGACCGGGTTTAGGATAGATGGTCGTACTATCAAGAGGGGCAAACTTGTTTGCACGTCGGTCATCTAGTGTCACTCGAGTGATGTAACTTTGCATCGTCGCTAGGATTGAGTGGCGTGGCAAGTTGAGTGGCTAATCCTTTGAAAAATAATTATGAAAATGCTAACACACATACACATGGTGGTGTACATTTGGTGGTGTTGGCATATTTACAAAGAAGATGAAGTTAGAGTTGATGTGGATCAACTCGGCGATGGAACGGAGGTGAGAAATGTTCCAAACTCCACCGACGGAGTGTCTGTCCGTAGAGTGCGGACAATCCGATGGTGCCACCGGCGCCCTATATAGAAAAGACAGGGTTTCACAATGTGCACTGGATGCTGGGGTCCTACGTCCGGTCAGTGGCAGTAGTGAGCGCGCCGTCTCGGTCTCGTGACCGGACTCTGGCACGAAGTGTGACCGGATGCTCAGGGTCTATGTCCGGTCAGTGCTGACGTATGGTGACGTAGGCGGTGCTGGAGTTAGGCGCGCGGGCACAGAACTGATCGGACGCTGGTCTGCGTCCGGTCATGGTGGACCGGACGCGTCCGGTCACAAAATAGAGGCTCGGGGAGCTATCTGGAAATGACCGGAGTCAGGCGCAGCAACGTCCGGTCATTCACTGTGCAGCGTCCGATCGCAACTTAACAGTTGAGATCGGGTGGCTCCGGTTAAACGCAGAGCGACACGTGGACGGCATAGAGCGACCGGACGCTAGCAGGGTGCGTCCGGTCGATCTGACTGGAGCGTCTGGTCGTCCTAAAATTTGTCCAGTGAAGGGGTAACGGCTAGTTTAGCCCATAGGGCTATAAATAAAAGGTGGTCTCAGCCATGGCTCGTGCTGAGCACCTCGGGGGACTTTGTGTCCATGCTTGTGAGTGCTTGGAAGCCCTCCATATCAGTGATCATTTGATTGTGTGAGAGAGTGATTCTAGTGTGATTGCATCGTGAGGTTGCATCGAGTGGCACTAGGTGATCGAGTTGCAAGTCGGTGGTGCTTGTTACTCTTGGAGGTTGCCACCTCCTAGATGGCTTGGTGGTGGTCTCCGTCGAAGCCCGCAAGAAGCTTGTGCGGTGCTCCGGAGAAGAGATTTGTGAGGGGCATTGTGCTCGCCCCGCGGGAGTCACGAAGAGCAACTCTAGAAGAGCGAGACGCTAAGGGCGATAAGTGGTCCGGCCGGGTCAAGTGCTAGAGCCTGTGGTAAGCACTCCACATGGAAGAGTGTGACTTGCAGGTCACCACTAGCAAGAGGACCGGCGGCAACCTTGAGGCTTATCTCAACGGGGACGTACCGTGTTGGCAAGCATGTGAATCTCGGGAGAAAATCACCGTGTCAACATTGTCTTTATCATCTTCTCGGTGGTTTGCTTTCCGTGCAACATAAGCTTGTATTACTTTCATATTCATTGTGCTTGTGTAGTTGCTCTAGTAATTAGTTAGCATGTGTAGCTTGCTAGTTACCATTTAGCTTGTGTAGCATAGAAGTAGCTCCCATGCGTGGCTAATTTGGTGTGTGTAACCTTGTTAGTCACATTGCTTAGTTTGTGTAACTAAGTAATTTGGGCTCTATAATTTGGCTTGTGTAGCTTTGTTATTGAGCATTGCTAGTGAGCTTAGGTGGCTTTGTGCTTTTACTTACTAGCATGTGTAGGAGCTCCACCATTGCTTGAAGTACTAGTGGTCTAGGTTTGTTTGACCTTGCTTCTAGAATTGATTAGGTGAGCTCTAGCTAGCCCGACACCTTAATTGCTTAATTAGGATCTTTGCAAGGTGCTAAAGAACATATATAGAGGGGTGTGGTCTTGATTAGACCGATAGTTTTAATTCCGCATTCGTTTCGGTAAGCCGACACGATTAATTTTAGAAAGGACTATTCACCCCCCTCTAGTCCACCATCTCAACCTTACAGGCAGGCAGGCGGGCGAGCAAGCGGCACCGGCGAGGTGTGAGGCGCATGCCTCGGAGAGAGTGGGGGAGTCTGGAAGATGAAGAAGGCTGACGTGTAGGGCCCACGTGTAAGAGGAGCAAAACGGACATTATAAGCTCCTGTTAGTTGTCGTTGGCCCAAAAGGTAACGGTAGTGGCATGTAAGGGTCCAAAAATTTGGAGCAGTGTCTCACGCGACATCGTAACTTTTACATTGGCTCATAAGGAATTGAGAACTTTTATAATGGCTCATAGGGAATTCTCTCTTCCTATTTTGTTGGTGTGTGAAATGACAAATTTCTTAATCACCTTGCTATATAAAATTTTGTATAATGTCGTTTTACGTGTGTATGTTTGTGTATTTGCCTTGAATTGATTTTAGAATGTACTCCCCGTCTCTAAAATAATATACATAGTAGCCGACTCTTATATTAAATCATCTTCAATAAATTTTAATTAATTTCACTAAAATTTTAAGGTGTAAATGCAAGATATCTAATCGTAGAATCCAACTTATTACATGAGGCCACATGTATATATGGCAACACTGTGGTAGAACCGCCTAAAATAACTCACTTCCGGAGGTGCTTATCTTTCATTAGACACTAAACACCCCAAGAGTGAGCTAATTTAAACAGTTTTGTCGAGCACACCCCATGGTAGAACCCAAAAATCCACATTTTTCAATAGGATCATAAATAGGATAATAAAGCTTACAACATTTTAGCTATTTCTTACATCACTTTTCATGTAACATCAGAGTATAATATTTATTGTTTATAACAGCGAAATATAATCATGTTTTTAGAGTTACAGAGGAAGCATGATTAAATTAATGATATAGTAGAGCATTAACATAGTGGACATTATATATAAGAGATGCTAACAGATTTTGTATCTTTTCTTATAAAAACCTTTAGTAAGGGTTATAAATAAACACTACGGTCATAGCGTGAAAGAAATCATCTTTAAGCTCACTAGGATGTTTCCACACACAAGAGTCAGCTCTAAGCATCATCCGATCACCTGCAACAAGGGAATAAAACCTAGAGGACTCGAATATACTCAGCAAGACTTACCCGACAGGAGGAAAATAAAAGACTACAATGATATGCAAGACTTATTTGGCTTGTGGGTTGTT